TACCTGTGATTTGGCCTGGTAACCTAATTTTTGTCCCCTTGTAAATCTAGGTTATTAATCTAAAATCAAAACGGACTTCTTGATATTTATAGTACTATTTGGCCTAATGACCAAATCTTTGACCAAATATCATATATTTACAAACCTTACATTCTTAATAGAGTATCAACTTGGTCTGTTAAAAGGATTTCCATTTGAACTTATGGCAATTTTATTGACCCCTGTAGCAACCCGACTAAGATTCTAATAAAACAAGCATTTTAACAAAGTTTGTTGAACCAATATTTTAACCTCTAATGCTAAAAGTTTTTTTTCTATATAATATTTGAAATAAGTATTTTATATTTGCAGCTGAATTTAAACGTCATCAGGAAAACAGAATGAATGTAGAAACCTCCACAGATGTGTTCATATGGCATTTATCATGGAGCCTTCAATGTGACACGTTACGTCAGTGCTATTCCATGAAATGTGGCGTATATGCCCAAAGTAAATGAATGTGTGTGTCCAAAAGTCATGTCGCATATAAGACGGATCTCTGATGTCGTTTGCTTGTAACTATCACTTTCTACAATACACAGCTTTCGAAATATTGACCAAGGATGACATGGACAGATAGATAGGCATGTGAACAACTGTCGACTGTGATAGAAGAATACTGAGAAAATATATTTAAAACACCATCCTTTCTTAAATATTTAAGTTCAAAGTTAAAGGACATTGAGTCTGATTATAAACAACTAGATTGTACGAATGGTTGTAACTGTCTCGTGTACGACTGTTACAGTTATTTTACATCCTGACAGCCTTCGGTTTGATCCAAGAAAATAGTGGGAGTCTGGGCAAAAACTGTGTCTGTATATTGAATATCCGGTCCAACATGCAAGCTGAAATATGACATTGTTACTTGAATTATCAACATACTCATTTATGAAATTGTCGAGAAAATACGTTAATAAAAATATGTTAATTTTTCTGTGAGATTTGCTTGTAAAGCCCGTGTTTGTGTGTGATTGCCAATTCAAAAGGACTTTGACATGGAAAAAATTCGAATGAATTTTCCATGGTAAATTTCCAATGCAGATCTTTAAAAAATACCTACATAATCTAGTATTAAATCATATTTGTAGACCAAAAATTTGGGGGTTGTAAAAACAAAAAAGGCATTATATAAAGGTTTATGTCATAATACAGATTGACATCTTTGAAAGACAAGTTAATTAGACAGTAGTCATTCAACTCAGTTCAGTATTGTTAAGTCATAATCAAACATGACAATATGAATTTATCTAAAGTCTAAATCATCAATTTGACGGCCTGTTCAATTATCTTATATATTTGTGAAAGCAAATTATGAATTTATGGATTTAACCGATAATGTTATCTTTTCCATTGAAAAGTCTGATTATATTACTTCAGGTAACATATACTCAAATTATTCACCTTTACCACTCCAAACAAAGTGTTTCCAAATCCAAGTCTAAATCCAACAATATAATTCATCATATCACTGAATGGGACTGCCATACACACAGAAATTATACCAAGTATATTGAACACAACTGAAAGTCAGAAACAATGCGCATGCATTAATTGCTATATAGAATTGATAACATGATTTTGTAGCAAAACAAATTAGTTATGCAACTTGCTGACGGGACATAACTCGAGAGCATAGACTGGCAGCAATAAGTTTACATTGCCACTGGCGCTAGCCCAGTGTAACATTTATATAAGCAAGGCTTTATTCTCCTGTATATCAAGTAAGCAATATGTAGAACGAACTTATTATAATTAAAGTAGAGTAAATTCTTAGTGACAGCACAGATCAATAAAAAGGGAAAATAACATTATTGTAACACGCATAATAACCAATTATTGACTAAGGAACACATAAATAAATAAATTAATGGCAAATGTCATAATATTGTATGATTTATAAATTGTAGGTGTGAAGATATTACTTTATCATTTTAAAACAAAACACAGTAATGCATTGTGTGCAATAAAGCGCGGGAAAATGGCGCGAAGAAGGTGACAATCAGGTACGAAACAGACCGTGGACCATCAGTCATTCTCTTCAATCAACAAAAATCTTAACCATATACTATATCATATACTTTATATACTAAGTCTGAGGAAATACATCTGCTTAATATGCAAAAGAATGTTAAAACATTTTATCAAAATGTAGAGAGGATTAAAAAGCTCATATATGACGTTATCCAAGTACATTCTGTTAAGTCCTGCCTATTTCTTGCAGTTGTCGCTAGGATTGTTCGTACATTCATGTAAGGACCCTATTGTCCTGATATATATTACCTGTGACAATCATTACAATATATTCAGAGCGACAATTCTATGAAATTTTCAGACCATTCCTTGATCATAGGAACAAATGTAGAGATAGTCATAATCAATACAGGCAAACAATAGACCCCCTTACTACTAGTTTCACCTCCTTGTAGTTAGTATTAGACTTTTCTTATGTTTTGTTTTGTCACAGCAAGTTTTAGCTGGTGCGCATGCTTGCCATTTTCTCATAAATATACAATACGGAATATGACGAAAATGATTAAATATTTCTATTGTATACTTTTCATAACAGTTCAAATGACTAATGCTTATCTACAATTAAACATTGACTTTTATTTTATAACTACCCACCATTTACTGTCGCCATGACATACCAACATTTTCCACAGCAACGACAGTCTTCCCAGACACCAAAACACTTCGGATATATACAGACAGCAAGTTTAACACAGCAGTAGATTTTACAGCTTACTTTTAAGATAGTAAAGATTTCAGTGAATAACACGACCCCTACAACTGACCGGTATCCTCTGTAGTAAGGAAGACCTATACAATTGATACAACAACATGTTATTTCAAATAAATGTTTCTTTTGTCCTTACAAAACACTGTATCAATATCCTAATAATCTTGCAATTACATTCATATATTGTGTTGACTTTACTAGATAAAAACTTCTCATATATCTAACCAAATAAAATCATGATTGAATTCAACTTAAAAACTGATAAAATATGTTTAATGCTCAGCAATTATACAGTCAACTATCGTTATTTCGACATCGCTTTTCTCGATATTTCGTTATCTCGATGAAATTTTGAAAGTCCCGATTTTCTTCCCTATTTATCTATATTGGAAATATTTGTTTATCTCGATATTTCTATTTCGATATTTTCAGTATCTCGATGTAAAATTTCAGCCCCAACAGTTATTTTCACACTATTATCCTTTGTTTATCTCGACTAATAGTTTTCTTTCGTCTGTTCCCGTCAGACGTGCGAAAAACACAATCTAGACGATAATTGCTCAATTAACAGCGCGTGTCATAATGCCAATTATGTTTGTAACAAGTTTAATAGTTTTTATAAAAGTTAATCTATATAGCGTGTTGATTGACTTATGTCCAAAATGAGTGAATTTTACATTCTTTTTAAATATTCGAACACTGTATCAATTCATTATGACTTTAAATGTAAATGAAAAGTAAAAGTATAGAAATGCTATCGTTGCAATATTGTTTCACAACATCACCACCAAATCAATCAGCGGTCGAACAATCTCGAGAAAGACCCGATAAATAACCCGGGAGGATATCCGAATCAACCATATCCGATATCCGATTCACTATATTGGTGTATTACTGAGTAAACCTCACTATGTGTTTTTATCACAGACACCCGTTTTTCCGCTGGTAAACATCCGCTAATGTTACTTTGTCAAATATTGACTAGTGCTATGAAAACAAGACAAAGGGATATTATAATTTATTTGACATAATGTATGCACATGTCTTTTGTAAAAATTAGTTTCGCTTTATTCTAACCCTAATGTTTATCTCGACATTTCGTTATCTCGATATTTTTTGGACGGTCCCAATGACTTCGAGATAACGAGAGTCGACTGTATTTGATTTTTAAGAAGAGCATCATGCAATAACCTAAAAGCAAGAAAATAATTTGTTGCACTTTCATACACAGTCTTAATATCACCATTAATTTATTAATGAAAAATATCATGAAAAAAAAATCAAGCTGAAATTTCACTCGCCATATCGAAGAGATTAAAATTGTAAAATGATCCATATAACCCTTAAAATTAATTATTGCTCCAGACATGCTATTTTCTGTTTGTTGGGTATCTAATTTCAACATTATGATAATCATTGTCACATTGAATGAAACGGTGCGACTGATTGAAATGAGACATCTATTTCCATGCAGATTTTCCTACAGGTACGTTCAAAGTAATTTTGAACGAATAGAGAAAATAGGAATCCATTAAGAAAGCATGTCCTCTTCTTTGACAATAAATAACCATTTTATGAATTACAATTTGTTATCAACATCGAGAATCGAGACAATATACATGCATTTGCCCCATTGCTTCCAACACCATTATGTTTACCAATGCAGTCACAAATAAAAATCGTGTACATGTATTTATTCTTAAATGTTCGTGTTTGTCAAATGTTGTACGTCTCATTTCTTACATCAAATGTTTTAATTACTGTCCCTCCATCAGTGTAGATAGACATACATTTATAACTCGTCGATTTTCTATATCTAGTGGTTTATTGCAGACATAGAATAATGGGGGGGGGGGGGTCCGTGTCTGAGTGGTTCAGGTCGTTGACTCCAAACCACTTATCCCTCACCGCTGATTCGAATCCCAACAGAAACGTTTGATTCTTTCATGTGAGGAAACTATCAAGTTACCTTACGGAACGTCGGTGGTTCTACTAATGTGCCCGTTCGTGCCAGAAATAATGCACGGAAGGGCACCTGAGGTCTTCCTACACCAGTAAAGCTGGACGCAATATAAACTATACTGTGTCGGTGTGACGTAAAATCCAATAAATCAACAAACATAGAATTATGTAGAATTATGAGATAACCTTACCTTCAGGATCTGCGGTAACATTATCAGTTTTGTTTATATTATCCGAGCTATTGTCTGTAATGACTTTACAATACTCCCTGTCGTCGGGAACATTATCACACAAATCTTGAAATAGGTATATAAAAGCAAGCAGCTGCACAACAACTCCTACTAGACATGAACCAAGCACAGATAATGTTAACAAAGGTCTGTTCGGAGGCACCTCAGATTCGGACATTTTTTTTCTTCTGAAATGTTATACTTTACTCTTTAATTAAATCCTCGATATATTTCAATCCAGTACAGTGAATTTATACCATACTGTGTATGAAACTTTACACGTATTCATGAAAGGATGCATATCGACGGACGAAATGTTTTTATTGGCCTTTGTTAATTACATTTTTCTTTCGAACAAAGGGTTGAAAGAAATTGTGTGTTTTGATACCTCTCTTTATACACAAATTTTTCTTCCTTATCCAAATCAAAGTGAAACTGTCTATTTATAGACACACATTGTTCACCATCTCACTAAATGGTATACAGTCATCTATAAAGCGTGATAATTTTCACACAACTTTGATATCCACCCCCTTGAATTTTACTTCCCGATGCTGTGCTTATTTATATTTTTATAATGTTTAATTCCATCAGTTGTGTTTCCGTTAAACATAACAGTACATAACTATAAAATACTTATTGACTACCACAATAGGATCAGTGTCTAAATAGCGCTGAACCAAGAGGACCTTGACTGTCATTTTATTATTCACCTTAGTGAAAATTTGAAAAAAAAACATAAGATTAAACAAACTTCTCTTTTAATTTATTTTTTTGGTAAAACCGCAAATTTCAAACTACTATTGATGAAATATGCTTGTAAATTTTTATATAATCACAAACGTGCACTTCAGTTTTAAACCTTTTTTTTATATTAGTTCTATCCTAACTTTTATCACTTGCTCAATAGAATGTGAGTTACATCTATAATAAAATATAAAATTAAAATTTGCTATAATTTATGTCATTTGTATTTATTTGACTCGGATAACGAACGTTCGAATCAGGCTCTGTGTTATCAATGAAACAGCATTTCAACAAAGTGAGCAGGAGATCTTATCAAATACAAAGTAACACTATGTGAATTCATCATAATAATTTCAACAAAATTATCCATGATTTGACTTATCGCATGGTTAGGAACCTTTTCTTTGTTCTTACTAACTTTCAGTGAGGATTTAAAAACTGTATTGATATATAACAGTATAGTTTTTTTTTTCGTTTTTCTTTTTTCATATAGGAAAAGTTGAGTATCTTTTGCACGTAGTATGTATCAGTGCGTTTTTTGACAGAGGTTGAATTTGAGGGTATCACACATTTCCAGTTGCAAAAACAAAGATTATTTAGCAAGTATTGGTCATAATTTCTAGGGTTTACATATAAAATATTGATACGAAATTAAAACAGAGGAAAAGGCACTGAACATAATTATATTTTGCTGATTTCTGTTACAAAAATCATGACTTTGCGATAGAAAAGTTATAATACATGTATATGTAACTCGTGAGTTACGTGGATAAGACACTGAATGGGGCAACATCTCGAGATGTTTCTGCAAAAACTCGTCATTTTTGATATCATCTATATTTGCAGCTGATATTAAACGTCATCAAAATAGACACATGCGCAACTGTATTAAGCATTTATAACAATGTGGTTTCGGGCTTGCTAACATGGTTTTAAATCGATTCACCTGATCTCAAAGTGTTTCCCCATCTGGATAATTCGTTTTATCCAAGATTTCTAAGACTGAAACACTCTGGCAAGAATTTAATGAAAATTTAGTCACATAGAGACGTCCAGAGTGTTTACAAGTCCAAACATGGACAGCAATTGACAGTTTGGCAGTACTTGATCAGGTGAGTGAAAAACGTCTTGATAACATTATGATGCACGCAACAGATATCACTCATTCCAAGCCAAACACATCCAAAACACAGACACCGCAAGCTGTCTACTTTGCAGCTTTCAGAGAACAACTGAAATCTTTTTTTATGGATCTTTTAAGTGATCCAGTGTGACAAGATAGAGCCGGGACTGCATCGGCCTGTCGTGCATATTTAAAGACTACTACACTACGCTGCTATTAAATTCATATATGTAGCACTATAAAGGACGAATTGGATAACAAAATATTCGCTTTACAATCATACATTTTATTAACAAAAACTAGGGCTTACATTCTACAACTTGAATGACAAATTAAATTTCGATGGTTAACAGAAACAGTATTTGAACGAATTAGAATAAACCTTTTGAATGGAGGCAGTTATAATGATCAGCCTTTGCCCAAACTTCTCGCACCAGTTACATCATCACTACATCCTGCACGGTAGTAGTTATATCACCAAAAACTCGCGGCCGTTTAGATAATAATCATTTTATTACAAAACATTCTGTTATGTTACATTTATATTTTCTTTTGGTAAATTAAGAATGGTAATATGGTATACATGAAATAAATGTAGAGTAAGGGGGTTGGTGACCTTACGGTTAAAGTGTCTGTCTCACAAACCAGGGATCGTGGATTCGAACCCTAATTGTGACACGACCATGTTTCTTCATATGACACCAGTACTGGTTGGTTCCAGGAATAGGACACGAAAATGGTTTCTATAAGTTTCAGGAACTTGTTTCGAAATCGAGCTTAAATAGATTTTTCTAAATAAAATGAAATAAATCTAAAGTGCTAGAAAGTAACTATTTAATTTAAAATCAAAAGTGAAAAGAAAACACTCAATTCTGAAACGGTCAAATTGTACATTGTACTTGTGGTAATGATTGCTATGCTGATCAGAGGACGTAACCGCTGCGGTGAGTTTGGCTTTTTCATTTTGTCAGTGACAAAGACCTGTCTGAAAATCTCTGCCGAAATATAATGGAGGCTATAAACTGCTTTCTGTGGTTTATGTTGTTTTCAAAAAAAATTATATAATTCAAAGCAAGAAAGTCCAATATGTACATTTCGGGCAAATTACAATAGTATTCCATTGGAAACTCTCAATATCTCACAATGCACCAAATTAAACCGTCTTAGTCACCCTCTTTAGATAGATATTCATCAATCTCTGTTCAGAATATTTGATTTTTGCACTTAATGAAAATCATGTTTTACTAGATATCTTCTTCAATTCAATTTGACATATAATGATTGATCTCCATGTATAAATTCATTACACTCAAAAATATTCGATATGGTACAAAAACGTATCATTTTATTGATACAATGATTAAAAATTTTGTAATTTTAAAATTGAAATACAATCACTATCAATTGTTATAAAAGAAAAAAAGACAATCGCAGATATGCACAGTTCATTTTTCATGACATGAAAAGTCATTCAAATTCTTACCTCTACCAAGCACCACAGTAAAGCTGAAAAATCGCCATTTGACCTGAACAATGTTGGTGCGACGTAAGACCAAATCGAATATTTATAAATTATATATCAGATATAAAACAAATATTTGTATCGAACTTGCCATTTGCGGTCTACAATATGAAAATGATAAAGATAATAATCAGTTTACATGCATTAAATATGCAATAGCCAAATTCACCAATAGAGGCTAGTACTAAATTCTTTTATTCCGAGATCTCTTCTATCTATTTCTCGTTCATCAACTCTTACAACCGTACCATCTGAACTTTTCGTAGTTGTAACTTCTGTTGTTACGTCTGTTGTAGCTTCTGTTGTATGTATGCCATAGTCTGACAACCTTTTATTTGATCCCAGGAAATATGCCTGATCCGGGCAACAACAGCTTTGTCTGTATGCTGAATAAGCCGTCCAAATAGTGAGCTAAATAAAACAGTTAAATAAAGTCAATGTATATACACGTACATGTTGAAATATATGTTACATTTCGATTTCTATTTTAAATATAATCTAGATAATATATTAAAAATATAGAACACAATTTTCATTTCGTTTGTTTTTAAAGGAGTAATCCCACCGAAAAGGACATGAGTCGGTTATTAATTCAAGTCAAAAACGAATCATAAACAAGAGCACCGCTAGGCGGAGCATTATATGCCCGAAAGTACCTTTTCTTTTAGTGACTAAGACATGGGAATTAAATACAGCATTACCTCCTTCAAAAAGCAATCCTCCTTTATAGCTGAAGAACATTCATGTATATATACAGTTGCTGTTTTCAAAGCACCACCATCAAGTTGTTATCTTATAAGTAAAAAGGCTACAACGGATGGACGAAAAGACGTCAGGGGTATAAAGCTGTTAATTCTATAAAATTTTACAGCTGTAGTTCGATTAATACTTGAGTTATTGAGCGAAAACTGTTTCCAGTTTAAAGGTGATAGTAATCCCTTGATCTTTGACCTTGTGACCCCAAAATCAATAGCAGTCTTCTACCCAATATGAACAATCATCCTATGAAGTTTGAATACTGTAGGCCAAATGGAACTTAAGTTATGCTCCGGAAACCATTTTCAGTATTAAGCTAAAAGTGACCTTGACCTTTGACCTTGTGACCCCAAAATCAATAGGGGTCTTCTACCCAATATGGACAATCATCCTATGAAGTTTGAATACTGTGGGTCAAATGGAACTTAAGTTATGCTTCGGAAACCATTTTACGTATTTAGCTAATAGTGATCTTGACCTTTGACCTTGTTACCCTAAAATCAATAGGGGTCTTCTACCCTATATGGACAATCATCCTATGAAGTTTGAATAATGTGGGCCAAATGGAACTTAAGTTATGCTCCAGTAACAGTTTTCAGTATTAAGCTAATAGTGACCTTTACCTTTGACCTTGTGACCCCTAAATCAATAGTGGTCTTTTACCCAATATGGACAATCATCCTATGAAGTTTGAATACTGTGGGCCAAATGGAACTTAAGTAATGCTCCGGAAACCATTTTCAGTATTTCGCTAATAGTGACCTTGACCTTTGACCTTGTGACCCCAAAATCAATAGAAGTCTTCTACCTAATATGGGCAATCATCCTATGAAGTTTGAATACTGTGGGCTAAATGGAACTTAAGTTATGATCCGGAAACCATTTTCAGTATTAAGCTAATATTGACCTTGACCTTTGACTTTGTGACCCCAAAATCAATAGAAGTCTTTTACTTAATATGGACAATCATCCTATGAAGTTTGAATACTGTGGGTCAAATTGAACTTAAGTTAAGCTCCGGAAACCATTTTCAGTATTTAGCTAATATTGACCTTGACCTTTGACCTTGTGACCCCAAAATCAATAGGGGTCTTCTACCCAATATGGGCAATCATCCTATGAAGTTTGAATACTGTGGGCCAAATGGAACTTAAGTTATGCTCCGGAAACCAAATTGCTAACGGACATACGGACGGACGGACAGACGGACGCCAGGGGTTATAACATAATATGCCCGAAATTCTTTCGGGCATATAAAAAGTAACATGAGCTGTCACCCAAGTGACGAATGCCTACGAAAAGATTTTTTAAGCATGCAGGTATAAGAGAATGAAAGTTTCTAATTGCTTAATATTGTTCTTAATTTTATTGTACCTGTATTCTTAAATTGTGATAG